TCAAACTCAACTTGTACAGAGGGCCACCTCAGCCCTATAAATAATAGTCCAGGGCCGCACTTCAAAATAGAAATATACATTAGATTTTGATACAAGGAAATTTAATTCTATTTATTATTTAGGAATAATTTCAATATAATTACCTAAAGTCACATATCTTACAGTTTTAAAAAGCAAGAGAATGCCATTTTTGACAAGTATTAAACAGTTTTTCAATATGTAAAAAGAGAGATTACACAAGAAATTATGTTAGAAATAGCAAAACATTTAATTTCCTGTAGCCTGCTAATTTATGTCTGCGTGAGACTTTTTGTCTTCTGCTCTGTTGGAAAATTGTCTTTACAAAAAATATTTCTATTAACATTTTAATATTGATTTTAATATCAATTAGCTCTAAAAGTTGAGGGGCCGCACTTTGTGTCTATGGGGGCCGCATTACACTATCAGTACTGTTAGCCTTTAAACACGACTGGTGGTACTTACAGTATGGCTGCGTAAGTATTAATGAAGGACATTAGAGAAATATAAATATTTCAGTAAGTAGGCCAGAATGCATCTAGTTAGTAGCCAAGAAGTGTGCTTGGCTGGTGCGAGTACAGTAATAACAAATAATTCTGTATTAAGGCTGTGGTGTTCTGAAATGTTGCAGTATTGTTTGGTTTTAAGGTATTTCAGAATAACCTACTGCCTCTCTTGCAGATGGAGGCATAATCTGAATATCACCATGACAGTCTCAGAATTTCTGTAAATAAAATAATTTTTGTTACTTGAGAACAACTTTCATGATTGTAACATTTTTTGCAGGCTACTACAAAGTACCAGACTATACCAAAACAGTTCTTCAAATAGCAGGAAGGTCCGATAAAATAATTGCATCTCCAGAAAGTCTTGTTATTGTTGATCATAATGAAACAAATTTTGAAAGAATGTCCAAAGCTGAAGAGTCTGCTAAAAGTTCAAATGAGACTGTGGAGCCCGTACTACGAAACAAAAAGGAGAAGTCTGTTGGAGTACAGACTGAAGAATCAGAAGGAGCATGGGAGAAACTGAGAAATAGCAACATCACATTCTATTTCTCTAAAGATTTTGTTACATTTTCCTTTGGATCAGCCAGGTTATGGTTGAATCAGCAGGAGAATAAGGGTCTCAAGCTGACACTCATTGTGCTAGTTGGTTGCATAATCGCCATGTTTTGGTACTTCAGTGCTCAGGTAATTGGACAAATGGTCTTTTATTGGTTTTATAGTTTATTGAAGGCCATGTCAATTTACCTCTGAATTAAAATATGGCTTGTAACTGCATAGTGTCAAGGGATATAAAATCTCTGTTCTTACACAATACATGTTAATATAATTTTTAAATTATGACATCTTTAATATTTCTTCTCACTGAACCTGATGTATTTGTCCCTGGCAGAGATACCAATATATATTATGCTCTTTCCTCTGTTGTCTTTTTATGAATTTTTAACCTTTCACACAGCGTATGAGAGTTTTCTGACATGTCTGATGTATCTCATGTTAAAGTGTAATTGGTAGAAAAGCAGATATGTTTGATTGGAAGTATTTTATCTTTTTTTTTTACTATGTGTCTTTAGTCATCCTCTTTATGTCTCTGTATGTATGTAGTTTATCGAGGAATTTGGTGCATCGAAGTTTCAGTTCATTGCTATTTGTTAATGAGTTGCAAGGAAAATTCCTACAGTATAGACAGCGTCACATAACTTCGAACAAGGCCCTGCATTCCTACTCAAAATCCTGCGCATAGCTTGTGGTGGGAGGAGTTTCTTAACACTCGTTCTTCCACTGGCTGCCTGTCACTTCTCACACCCTCCACCCCCTTGTCTGAAATTTTTCTTCTGCGCATTCAAGGTTACTCTTGGCCTTGTTCGAAGTTACGTGACATTTGCTATATATTTAGTTATAAGTACTATATGCATGACATATTTTCTTGTAAGCAGATCTTTGTCTTCATGTGTATTTCTGTTCTTGTCTTCCTGCACTTGAAAGGTACGAGAATTTCAGCAACTTTCACAAGGCTCGCGTTCCAGTAATAGACTGATCTCTGGTGGCCGTAACTTGGCGATAACTGCATTGGCAGAGGATGTTGGTGGTGGGAATGTCCAAGTTGGCAAAATTACATTCAACACAAATGAAATATTGGGTACAGGCTGTGAAGGAACATTTGTGTTTAAGTGAGTACTTCACTCATTTCTTTCTGTTTTATATGAAGATGTTTGCATGTTTTAATTGGATTTGGTAGTATGAAAGTTCAACGTTCAATATAGACTTTAGGAAAGATATTAATTTTTATAGTCCTAGGAAATGTGTTAAGGTACTCAGGAACAATATCAGAATACACAAGGAAACGACCGAACTTTGTACGAAATGACAGAAAAATAACTCTGCACCTCCCAAGGAAAAAATGCTGCAATCATCTTTGTCTCCACAGTGTACCCTGTTGGGATGCAAACTCTATAGCTAACACGAAACATCCAAGATTATTATCTTCTGGGTTGTGATACCATGTAGTTTGGTAGAATGGTACCAACCTTTCACAGGAACCTTCAGCTTCCTTCATGATAGAAGAGATGATTGTAACAGGTTCCTTCAATACCTGGATACTTTTCTACTAAACAACATGGCATCAGATTCCAGGAGAGAGTAATCTCAGTATTCATTGACATAAGAATTTCAAAACTAAAGAAGCGTTCCTTCCAGTGTCAAGCTGTACATGAAATAATTTTTTTTTAATTCGCTTAGTGAGGGGTGGAGTCCAGCTGGGTCCACTTGTCATGGCGGCCACTGATTGGCCTATTGTAGCCTGCGCCGGATGGAGATGATGGAGAATTTGGTGGAATGAAGATTGGCAGGGGAAACCGAGGTACTCGGAGAAAACCCGCCCTAGCGCTACTTTGTCCACCACAAATCCCACTTGACCAGACCTGGGATTGAACCCTGGCCGCTGCGGTGGGAAGCCAGCGACTAACCGCTTGAGGCGCGGCCTACATGAACTCATTAGACATGAACTTACAGTGCGGTGCTAGAAAATAAAATGACCCAAGAATGTGAGCAATAGAAGCAACGTGTCAAGTAATGTTGTGGTAACTAAGTATAGACTTACTTCAGTTATATCTGTTTAATGTTGTCCGTATATAAATGTTACTATCTATTTATATCATATGATGCATTTTATTTTGCAGAGGGATATTTGACAATCGAGCAGTGGCTGTCAAGCGTCTGCTTCCAGAATGCTTCACATTTGCAGATCGAGAAGTTGATTTGCTTCGAGAATCAGATGAACATGGAAATGTAATACGATATTTTTGTATGGAACAGGATAAACAGTTCCGCTACATTGCGCTTGAGTTATGTGCTGCCACTCTACAAGATTATGTAGAAGGAAAGTTTCACTGCACCAAACTTAGTGCCCTTGACATTCTGCATCAGTCAACAGCTGGCTTAGAACATCTGCATTCTTTGGATATTGGTAAAGTGAAGCCTATTGTATAATGTTATTAGGCGAATTAAATGTGTAACACATATAAATCACTCCGTCCAATGTGACCTGTAAGTTTTTTACTACATGAAAAACTTAACACCCTTACATGTTTCGGTCTCTGTGGACCATCTTCAGAGGGCAAACATCACTACAAATAGGAAACCACCATCACATAAGTTGTTTAGACGTAAAGTACGTACACTTATATGCTACAATGCATAGTACACAAAATAGAACATTTCACAAACACAGCAGTTTCCTGGGAATGTAAAGTTTTTAAAAAATTATATAAAATTTCTTGATGCTAATTAATTTTTTTTTGTATTGTCAATAATTAAAATTCGTAAACCACACAGGCTCGTGTTCGTCCTCCCATCGTCCCTCTTATATGGGGCAGATACACATTGGACGGAGTGATTTATATTTGTAATTGTTAGTGTGACGGACCAGAATGAAACAAATCAAACTTAAATGTGTAACAATTCTACATTTCCTGAGTTTGATTTGTTTCACATATTTACTTCCACAGTTTGTAATTACAACTTTGGAACAGTAACTAAGTAGAGGCAGTTGATACTTATTTATGTTTTCAGACTCTGCAGGTTATAATTTTGGCTATACTTTATCAGTTGTAGACAATAATCTGACATGCCTTTACTTGTATCATGATTCTGGTCATGTGTTCTTTTCTAATTAAAGAAGGGAAGTACTTCACGTGGTATTAACGAGAATATCTTGCAACTCACTATGCAAAAAGAGCAAATTCACACTCTGAAGATGCCTTCTTTCTGCCTACCTATTGATTTTAAGCCAGTGATGGGATATAGGGCTGATCACAATGGCTGCATGGTCTGAGGCATGAACTATCCTTGCTCGCTTGAATTCTGGGATCATGGGTTTGAATCCCACTCATGGGATATGTGTGCGTTTATTGTTTGTGCTGTCCTGTGTATAGGTAATGACCATGTGACGGGCTGATCATTTGTCCAAGGAGTCCTAGCATCTGTGTAAAAATTATTACACAACTGAAGAACAGGCCAAGGCCCAAGAAATGGCTGTAGAGCCATTGATGAATGAATGAATGATGAGATATAGGTGTAGTCAGAAAATTAGCGAGGTCCAGTATTCTTGTTGCCTATGTTATATCATCATCTGTCAGGTGGATGTATGATAACTGTGCATAATTTCAGCTACAAAGTCCAAAGGGAGCAGACCACTTGGTAGACTCAAGCACTGATATGAAGATAATATTAAAATCAATGATAACTCTTTCCCAACCATCTGCCTACCAGCTAGACTGGGAGAACATGCACACACTGTTTAAGTAAATGTAAACCTTTTTTCATGTATTATTATTATTATTATACACAGACTGCTACAAAAGATTTCAAAGAACACAAACAGCAAACACCCAGCATGCAATCATAACTTGGCAGTATTTTTTTTATTGTTAGTGGGGTGGGACTAAGTCCCTTGTACTGTGGCCACTTCTGGCCTATTGTACCAGCCCTAGATGATAGATGAGGGTGATTGTGCAGCAATTGGTGGAATGAAGATTGGCAGGGGAAACTGAAGTACTCGGAGAAAACCTGCCCCAGCGCCACTTTGTCCACTACAAATCCCACTTGACCAGACCCGGGATCGAACCCAGGCCGCTGCGGTGGGAAGCTAGCGACTAACTGCTTGAGCTATGGTGCAGCTAAGGTGGCAGTAAATTGCTAAAGCTGGTGGTAGAAGGTTCACGATAGTGGACCTAACAGGACAATTAGTGTCAGAAGGCTTCCTACAGAAGATAGGAAAAGGCTGAAGATGTAGCATTCATCCAACTTAGGACAGAGCTCAGTCTTGGGCTTTTGTGAACATATAGTAAATTCTTGGGTTCCAGAATAGACATGAAATTTTGTGATCATGTAAGTGGGTGTCAGTTTCTCAAGAAGGTCTGTTTCATGTTCCATGACTTTTTTAAGAGCTTACATACATTATATTAAAGTTTTTATGTAAAAAAAAAAGTAAAGATAGTCCTGTAACAGGCTGTGGAGGCCCATAGGGTTTTCCCACATTTTCTAGACTTAGGTACAATGAACTACAAAGAAAATATGTGGAAAATATGTGCATTCCAAATTTGTGTGCACCTTTCAAACTTTAGGGCTTGGAGTAAATGACAAATGGTTGCATTGCCTAACTGAAGCCTTGGGATGTATTAGAGGTCTCTGAAAAATATTATGCGTGAAACAGTATGTTAGGTTTGTGTACTGTTTTTTTATGCTACGACCCAGAAGGTCACAGGTTTGAGCGCCAATGAGGTGGAATTTTTTAATTTACCTAATCCTTCCAGCCGCACTATGGCCCTGGGGTTGATTCAGCCTCTAACAGAAACGAGTACTAGGAATCTTCCTGGAGGGTAAAGGGCGGCCAGCACGTAAGGCTGACAACCTTACTGCCATCTGTGAGCTGTTTGTCTAAAGAAAATGTTGGAGCCTCGACATCTCACAATCCTATGGGCCTTCATGGCCTGTTACAGGGATAGCTTTACCTTTTTTTGTGTACTGTTTTTGCAGTTCATCGTGATATTAAACCACACAATGTACTGCTGTCCATGCCTAATGCAAAAGGCGAAGTTCGAGCTATGATATCCGATTTTGGACTGTGTAAGAAATTAAAAACAGGAAGAATGTCCTTCTCAAGACGATCTGGTGTGGCTGGCACAGATGGCTGGATAGCTCCGGAAATGCTCAATGGAAGCAGCAGAACAGTAAGTCTATTTGAACATATTATTTAAGAATTGGTATTTATCATCTGAAAAATTTCAGTATTTCATTTCTAGTGCATTATTTGTTGCAAAATAGAGCAAGCGGTTAAAATTGTACATCTCCCCCCATTTTATGGAAAATTAAATCCCCAGGGATTAAGTTGTGAGCATTAGTTCCTTCCACAACAGTTATATACTTGGAGATATATATCAAATTATGGTTATAATTTTACATTTTCTATTGAGCTGTGTGCTTTCCTTTTCAGACATGTGCAGTAGATATATTTTCTCTTGGTTGTGTGTTTTACTATGTACTTTCGAATGGTAATCATCCTTTTGGGGACACACTGAGAAGACAAGGAAATATTATCAGTGGAGAATACAGGTAATGACAGTTAAACCTAGACATGGTGAAATTGAAAGTCATGTGCATTTCAGGTAGGTTATGTGGAAGTTCTATGTAAAGAAGCCTGTGAAGATAAATACTTCTTGTTTGGTTTGCATTAAAATTATTATTTTTGGACATGAAGTGTGTCTGTGAGGCAGGCAAGATCAAATTCAATATTTTAGTCAGAATACCTGAAGGAAAGAGTATATTTATGAGACTCGGGCAAGTTATTATTATTATTATTACTATTATTATTATTATTGGAGGGGGTGGGTTTCCCCATGCACCGCAACCAATAGCCTATTGTACATCCCCCTTTAATATTCTACCAGTCTCCATACCGTGCCGGTACTGGTGCTTGGTATCAGCCCCGTTCAGCCAGCAAGGCTGGCTGCGATTCTTACCCATCTACCGGAGGCATTGGAAACTACTTGGGCGGGAAACTTTTTACCTAATAATTTTGCTCAGAGGTCTCCTAGAGACATGAGGATCTTTTACGTGCCGTAAATCTACGACACGGGACCCACAGCTTAGAATTGGGCACAGTTGGAATGACAGTATTAAAATGGACATTAAGATACGGGCTGTGAAGCTTGTGATGTGTTCGTTTGTTTATCATGTTTTTATCCAATGGTAGACAAGACATTGGTGAACTTCAAATAAATTATGAAGTAACACCTAATTTTCTTAGCAATTATTTTTCTCTAAGACTGTACTGTACAAGGTAATTATAAATTTACAACTTTGAAAGTTTATAGCTGTTTGAAGCATAGGCCCCTTCACGAACCCCTGTAATAGAAAGTTCAGAGGGGTGAAGTTAGGTGATCTGGTGGTCATGGGATTGGAGCAGCGCAACCAATCTGTGCTCTCATTTAAGGGAAACATGGGTTTATGATAACATCATGTTTATGTGCACACACACCACACCCCCACTCAAGTTTTGAATAAAGTGATGGAGTGTCACAGAATTTTAGAAGTACTTTAGTACTTTTAAAGTAGGTGTTCCTCATTAACACAATTATGGGAGCTCTGAAGACTTGTCATTTGGAATGGACAATAAGATGACAGCAGCATGAAATCTGTGTTTAATGTTTGATGCCTATACCAATGAACCACTGGAGCTAGATATATCATATTCTGTATAGAGACAGGTCATAGATATACTCCTCAATTTGATATGCTACTTTGTTATACTGGGCAAATTTCATAATCAGAATCTATATTAAAATTATATCCAGGTGTGTATCACAAAATTGAATGTTACTAATTCATCATTCTTGCCAGTAAAAAGTAAAAGTATCCCTGTAACAGGCCGTGGAGGCCCATAGGGTTGTGAGATGTTGAGGTTCCCATATTTTCTAGACAATCCGCTCATGATGGTGGTAAGGTTGTCAGCCTTGTGCGCCGACCGCCCTTTACCCCCAAGAAGATTCCTGGTGCTAATTTCTATTAGAGGCTGAGTTGACTCCAGGGCCATAATGTGGCTGGAAGGATTAGGTAAATTGAAAAAATCCACCTCATTGGGATTTGATCTCGCAACCTTCCGGCTTGTAGCATAGTGCCTCAATCAGCCACGCTACCGCGTGCCCCTTATTCTTGCTGGGCTGATGTTATATACCATTTAGAGAAAAGCAGGTATCATAATTGGATAACAATTTGGAATTTATTGTATAGGATTGTGTTACTTTACAAACTGCAGGTAAACTTATATTTCAGGCTCAGTGACTTACAAGGAGAAGAACAACTGCTTCAGAGAATACTTGTGGAGCAAATGATAAGTTTAGATCCAATGGAACGCCCTCCAGCGAGTGCTGTGAGAGTGCATCCCATCTTCTGGAACAAGGCACAGATATTAACTTTCTTGCAGGTAAAGCTGTTAATGTGTGGACTGGATATGTTGAATTATTGAATGACACGAGAATACAGAGTAACTGTCTAACTGGAACTTTTGCAATCAATACTGCTGAGTTAAAGCTAACCATTGGATCCTGGCTGAGGCAGGTCAATCAGATTTACATTATCATAATCCCTATTCATGTGTGAAGTCCTTTTTAAAGGCCTTCCACAAGTACACATAACTCATTTAATAGAAGTTATTTCTGAAAACGTAAGTGAAATCTGAGAGATTATAAGTTCATTTCAGGATGTAAGTGATCGTGTAGAAAAAGATGACCAGGAGAGTCCGGTGTTACAAGCCCTGGAAGAAGGAGCCTATGGTGTCGTCAGAGACGACTGGAGAAATATGATCGACTCAGAAGTAGCTCAGGATCTGAGGAAATATCGTAACTACCGAGGAACAAGTGTGAGAGATCTGCTGAGAGCTCTTCGTAACAAGGTGAGTGTAAGGTGTTTTTGTTAGTGATGTTCAGGTGTATTTTTGCTGAATGCTGGAAAGAGTATATTCAGTTCTATTCTGGATGGCACACATATATTCTAAAGAAATCAGCATTTAAGACGCTGGCAGACAGTGGGTGATACAGTGTTCCTTATGACCCTGCATCTTAATTGCATACTGTTAAGTCATCTGCCGATCACGGTAGCTGAGCAGTCTAAGGCATACACTGTCTTTGCTCACGTGGAAGCCGGGATTGTGGGTTTGAATCCCACTCAGGGCATGGCTGTTTGGTGTTTGTGTGTGCCTTGTGACGAACTGATCACCCGCCAAGGAGTACTACCAAATGTCTAAGATCTAGTAAACCGAAGTAAAATGGAGAGTTTCATGGAGGTAGGCCAAGGCCCAAATTGCGGCTGTAGTGCCAAAGGAAAAAAAAAGTCATTACAACATTCTGGTGATTCTAGAATAGTGAGTTTAAAAGCCAGTTCTACACCTGAAGATCACAGTCTTCTGGGATGCAGTGCTATGTAGCTCAAGTACAAGTGTCTTAGAAGAATCTGCTACTTCATAAATGTTCCTACCCACCTACCAAGCTGCATGGGATCACATCCCAAGAGACTTATCTTCATATTGCATACACACTGCCATGGTAATGTAAAATTCAATATTTTGAGACCTGTATGTACTTTTATTAATAGTCAACATTCTTTCTTTCACCAACTTCTCTATCATGACAGTGACACATGATGAAGTTAGGCCACCATAAATTTCATAATTATTTTCTTCCCATATCAGTTTGCTGACCCCTGATTGTAACATCATGAATAGCTACGTCCTGGTTGCAAAGAACTCATAGCACTATTTTAAATTGGATTAACTCATAGTATTAAGGTATTATTCCGTTTAACACATTTACTGCCATGCCCCTGTGCTGGGATTTTAAATGTTGGCCCATTCACTCTTTCCAAATAACTGTTATTAGTATTTAAGATTTGAGGCTTTCACGGCGATGACTATGAAGAAAGCAGTCTTCTGGGATTTGGCACCGTGTATATGTGGTGTTAACCGACGTTTCGGAGGAACGTATCGCCTGAAGATGGAGGTGATACGTTCCTCCGAAACGTCGGTTAACACCACATATACACGGTGCCAAATCCCAGAAGACTGCTTTCTTATTATTATTAGTATTTTTTTTTTATTGCTAGTGGGGTGGGACTAAGTCCCTTGTACTGCGGCCACTTCTGGCCTATTGTACAAGCTCCAGATGATAGGTGAGGGTGATTGTGGAGCAGTTGGTGGAATGAAGATCGGCAGGGGAAACCGAAGTACTCGGAGAAAACCTGCCCCAGTGTCACTTTGTCCACCACAAATCCCACTTTACCAGACCCAATATCAAATCTAGGCCACTGAGGTGGGAAGCCAGCGACTAACCGTTTGAGGTATGGCACAGCCCTTCCCAAATAACTAACTCCAACATATCATGCAACACGATTGCCACTGAATGGCATAAGTGAATTATATGATGAATACATTTATTAATGCAAATTTTTTGTTACCACTTTACAGAAGCATCATTATCGTGAGCTGTCAGAGGAAGCCCAGCGAAGTCTTGGTGAAATCCCTGATAAATTCATTGATTATTGGACTCAGCGTTTCCCATTACTTCTTCTACACACATGGATAACAATGCAGTCTGTAAAAAATGAACCAATCTTCAGCCAATATTATCATAAGGATTACGTCTTCAGCCAGATTTTGTATGTAAATGTTAGCAAAGATGCATACAGTACATTCAGTAGCACAGCACTGGCAGATAATAACCTTAATGTAATGCAGCACTGGACAAAAAGAAAATCTCCATCAGATAATACTAAAAAAGATAACACACAAATAGTGAATGACATAAATGAACAACAATATTTTGAACACAGTAATTTTCAAGCAAGGAAATACAATGAAATATCACCTCATTTAAGAAGACGGACAGATAGAGGTAGACACAGAAAAGAAAACTCACCTAGGAGATTTCAGAGCACTGGAAGAGATTCTTGTGCTTCAAAATTTGAAAACTGGAGAGCTGAAGACGATCCTCTTCGACTGTTACATCAGAAAATGGAACTTGCAAGGGCTAGAGATGATACTAATACTGCAGATCATTCAAGAAACATAAATGACGTCCAGTACAGTAGAGGCTCCCCAGAAAAGTTTGTTTCGTGGAGAGATGAGGGGAAACAGACTGACACTAGACAGATGCTTGACAGAACTGTGATCCATGAAGATTCAGGTCCTGTATATAGATCAGAAATACAGAATATAGATAAGTCTGATTTGAAGCCTACTCAGGTTTCTGAAATGGAAAACCAGTCACTGTTAACTTTAGGTTATGAGAGGCAGACTCCATCTTTATGGAGGCAACAGGACAAAGAGCTAAAGAATGATGTTAGAAACCGGCCAATTAAAAAACGCCACAGACATAAATCGGCAGAAACCCCTGTAATGTGGATGTTACCTGATCCTGTAACTCCCAAAAATGACTGACAGAATGTATTTATATCAGAGGTATGCTGATTTGGCAGTGACACAGTTGGTGTAATGATACAGCAGTGAAATTGAAGGAAAAATACCTTTCAACCTTCTTGAGGTAAATCCGATGTTTTTGAGACTTCCTCTGACTCCATCATTAGGTCTGATATGGGGAATGACCATAAGTCACTGCATATCTTTAGTCAGGCAGAATAAAGTTCTGTCGTCATTGGCACACGAGGTTGAAGGGTAGAGCCAAACCGAGCAGTTGTCACTCCTGTTTCAGATGTTACCCTCAGTCGGTATAGTGACAGGCTAAAGGCTGGATTCTCTGCAGGGGCAAGAGATTTTTCTCCTCTCTGCAGGGCCTACCCAGCCTCCTATCTAGTGGGTATCAGGGACTCATTCCCAGGGGGTAAAGTGGCCAGGGCAAGAAACAGACCACTCACCTCCATCTAGTGTAGGGGTCAAGAATGGTGGAGCTATACCTCCTGCACTCCCTTGTATGTCTTCATGGCATGGTGATTAATTAATTAAGCACAGGGACTTTTCCTTCACCTTCTATCCCGTTACCTAAACTGCAGAATCTTCACCCCCCCTCAAATCATTTGTCAGGTACTTGCTTCTCATATAACTTGACTATTCCAGAACTCCATTTTCACTTGGGTATGTGTAATGCATAGCACTGATGTTGCTTCTTTTACCTTGTTTAATTTGAGTCTGTCAGTAGTCCTGTCCCATTGGAATGTTGTTTAGCCCAGCTGTCAGAGAACTTTAAAAAGAATCTAGTAGGATTCCATACGCGGCTTAGTTTGAACTCTTTTAATAGCTCAGACAGTGTAACAAAAACCTGATGCTTTGACTAGAATCTTAGTATCTAGGAACTTGATTTGGTAGCTCAGTCCAGTGATAACATTCCACTACTGAGGGTTTGTTTGGTTGTTACAAGTGTATATGCTATGATTAAACCGTAAGTCTGAACACACGGTAAAGTTGACGCAATGACTGTCCCCTGTTGGCAATTTCTTGCCTGTTAGAATGAGGGCACACCAAGGAAACTGGCAACCACAATTTTCAAAAAGTGCTATCAGCCTGAGTTGAACACATGCTACTGAATAGAGCAGCGCAAATTTAGTAACATGTGCAACTCAGGCTGATAGCACTTTTCGAAAATTGCGGTTGCCAGTTTCCTTGGTGTGCCTCCGCCTTTATAGTAATTCTTGCCTAGGAAGTTACAAAACAAAACCAATATTCTGGACTTTATGCATTCCCCTGGGATAGGGACTAGCCCTATCAGTTGGGCCCAACAGAGTAGTTTTTTTTTCACATAAGGACAGAGTCACTTCCAACAATCATGTCATAAAAATTAGGACAATGAATATGTCCAGAAAATTGATCGTTGTATTGATATTGTATTGTCATAAAGTTTTAGATCTTCTCTGCTGCTGCAGGTATCAAATTCGTGTAGATGTACACTACCTTAGACAATGTTTTCTTTAGCTTTTGTTGCATTACATGATGAAATTACAATATTGGAATATGTTTTAAGGAGGTTGACACATTTTACTTTAAATATTATAATGGGAGAAATGGTAACATCTTTAGGAACTGTTAGATTTGCATTTGCTCAGCATTATTACAGACAGGCAGGCACGTCTCATGTTATACTTGCAGTGTTTCATCTCAGGCAGGTAATGAAACATTGTCACTTGAACACTTTGAAATGTTATGCTACAGTGTATATTTTTGTACTGGATTATGAAATATATACGAAAAGTTATATATGTATATGTAGGTGTTATTATATATAAATAAAGGGAGACAGATTCAAAATATGAGGCCCAAAGTCATGCAGAAATTGTGAGCATATTTTAATTTTGAAGTACATGCATCAACACACAAGCGCTCACCCTAAAATTAACAGTTCTGCTTGTTGGAAGACAGATTAATGTTAGGGTGCGTCTGTGTTGGATATGCTTCTTATTTTAAAATCCCAATATATGTTTTAACACTTGTATATACTAGTACAACTTGTACCTGAGTCTCTCACTTTTAGTACGTTAGGGTTGATGGTGTTTTAGAATAGAACTAGCAATGCCCGCAAACCAAACGTGTTTATAGCCATTAGCCTTTAGTAAAATATTGACATGATGGCTGAAAACTGGAAGAGTGGAATAGAAAAAAGGCAGCCGTTGCTATGCAGCAGTAAACACGTTCCCACGACAGTGAACAAATATGCAATAGTAGAGGAACCACAGAAGTAATATTTTCTATGCAGCCCATGCCAAGGCTATATACAGTGAGGACCAGTGGCATTGACAGTCAGAAGACAGAGGCTGGAGATGGCAGTTAAGTCTTGAATTGCATTGTTAGGCACCACTACCAAGCAAGGACTAGTGAAGACACAGAAGACTGTGTTTGCAGTATTGATTTGTAGAGTAGTGAAAATGTTAAAATTATCTATAGTTATAAGGGTTCAATAAATCCAATAATTAATCCGCGTGACAATATGAAAATGTCATTTGTGACAACTGAAACAGTAAGCATTAACAGTGCTGTCTGTTACTGTGCCCGCATTCAAGGCTAGCAAGTGGCACACACTGCAGCTCCAAGGTAAATTCCCAGCAAGCACCACCCCACCCATCCCCTCGCAGTCATCTCACCATTATCTTTCAGTTAACATATGTATGGGGATATTTGTGTTGATTTCGATGCTTTAGGGATCATGGTTTCAGGGATAGGTGATGTTTATATAATTCAAATTTAAAGTGTGGTATCTTGTTTGATTAATATAATTTTTCCAAATGCAAATGTGAAAAGCCAGTGTGTCAGAATTTTGAAGTTTTCTCTAGAAGATTTGCGCTTTTCTGGAAACTTCATTCATCATACTCTGTAATCACTTAATCTCAAGTATACTTCACTGAAATAAGCACGGTATGAAGTAATTTAATCGCAATCATAAAAACAATACTGCTTTTTACACAGTTCCTCATACCAGATTAACTGATACAAATGACTGAGCGTAGAAATTATTGTACATAAAATGTTATTTTGTTCAGTGATCTTTGTGTTTCCACACGATGTTAAGTCACCCTGTTTTTATAACAAAAAGTGATTATGTGTGCTGTTGCTTTGGTGCTTGTCAGCTATTTATGCAATCACTTTGTGCTGCCACAATTGTAAATAAGGAAAAACTGGTCATGGAGAATTCTATGCTTAAGATTGTCATAACAAATAACAATTTAATAACATCAGTAAAGTCTGTGGACACTTTTGATAACCTCTTCTTTTTGGTGAACAGAAATAACTCTTTTTGTGGGTCTTCTGTTGTTCAAAACATTTACTGCAGATATAAGGTATCTTTAAAACATTTTATTTTTAAACATTAACTTTCAAATGTCTTATTATAATACATTGTGCTTGTAATGTTGTTAGGTGTTAAAATTTGTTTGCACAATGCTACATAGAAATTTAAATTCTTGACATAGTTAGTTGAGGCAGTATGCTACAAGCTGGAAGGTTCTGGGTTCAATTCCCAATGTCATTGCAATTTTCTGTTGACCTAATCCTTCCAGCTGCACTATGACCCTGGGGGTCTAGTCAGCCTCTAGCAGAAATGAGTACCAGGACTCTTCCTGAGGGTAAAGGGCGGCCACCACTTAAGGCAGACAGCTTCACTGCCATCTGTGAGTTGACTTGTCTTTCAATGTGGGAGCCTTGACATGTCACAACCCTATGGGCATTCACAGCCTCTTACAGGGATAGCTTTACTTTTTTAATGTTATTTCTGCTGTTAAGCTACATATTTTTAATTCTTAGTTTTGAAGTTTCATGTCATGTCTCTTGACATGAATATTTTCAGTTGGTGCAGTGCTTGTTATGGATTCATGGGAGTTCAAAAAGTTTTGAGTCAAAAGATTTATGCTACTTCATCATATATGTTGTGGCTGTGGCATGCACTGTTGCTATCCTGTACAAATGTGTGTGCATAAATGAATGTTTATTGCCATGGTGTCCCAGATGAAGTGGTTTTTGTATATATTTTTCTAGTAAATGTTTATGTTCAGTATTATGACTGTGATATTTTTAAAATTTTGTATTAAGTAAGTAAATGCACTAGTAAAAATAAGTAAATGTATGAGTTTGACAGTTAGTCCTGATAACAGAGGCTTATTTTCACAATAAATATACAATTCCAGACTATTCTTGTACATATATTCTAAATTGACAATAAATGACACAGAACTGAACAAAAATGTACAGACAGATGTAAGTACAAATTACTGAACTTGTGAGTAAATATCTGTTATGGGTTAATGTTGTTACAGTTTACACAAATTTCAGTGAACCAAGGTTTAAAGCTGTAGTATATTGTACCTATATGTACTGTCTGACACTTGCACATATTGTCTTACTTTTATAGAGACACAAAATAAATGTATAAAAAGTAACAAATATACGAGATATTCCTAATGCTCCCTTTACTTGAAACAAAGACAACTGTTAAGATTATGGTATTCTGGGATATGATGATGTGCAGTCTGGTACATCTACAAAGTAGAAGTGTTGGTATGAATCTACCAAACTACAATGCATTACATCCCATTAGTCATAACCTTGAAATGAGAATGCACAAAGGGCCAGCCTAAACTGGCCCTTGCAATCTTCAATGATTTATTGTGCATCCCCCTCTATTTCAACCCTTCAACAATCTTACACTTTGAATGAAGTGTAGCATCTTACTTACAGGGTTAACTTGGATCCATGAATTAATGAGCCAGGTGGTGAAATCTTAAGTAACCTGTAGCCTCACAGTCACACAGGATGTGTATGGCTGATTCATCTTTTTCTAGGTGCCTTTCACATATTGGACTAGTCATCAATCCCATTTTGAAGATGTGTCCTTTCAGGTGACAGTGTCCTGGAAGTAGTCCCATCACCCACTATTAACTGGTTTCTGTTTAGTTTTAACAGTTCCTTGGTTCCTCTGACACAGGGTCCTTGCAGGAATCCCTTTACCTGTCCTGTTAAGGACTCCCCATATATTTGATAGTCTCTGTTTGTCCAGTCCCTGACAGCCTTCTTGGCAATTGTTGCTGAAATACTGCAAGCTAGACTAGAACCTTAATGCTCTCATGAGAATCTCAGCTTTCGAAGACAGTTATAATATCCAGTGGAACATTTTCAATATTAAATTCAGAATTAAGTTGTATAAACATGTTACACAGACTCACTGTTTATACTGAATACTACTGAGAAATGTGCACTTACCCAGTTGATTGACAATCATTGCTGAGGTCGGCCATTTTCCAGGTTCCCTGTTTAGAGGATGAACAATTGTCAGACATGCTGAATTAATCCACAAGCTATTAAGGAAAATCAATATTATCCATTATTAATATTGAAAATGTTTACTTTATAATCTGTGAACACTGCAGTAGAAGCTAACAAACAATATTAAGCGAGAACAAAACAGTGCTTTTAAGACATATATTGCTTTTGGTGTAAAAAGCCTTAATGAAACTGTGATGGTCCAAATCCTAGTGTTCTTCCCCAGAAAAAAAAATGGGGAAGCCCTAATGTTTCACAATCCTATGGGCTTCCACAGCCTGTCACTGGGATAGCTTTACCTTTATATTATGATGTGTTGCACTATGCAGGACACTCCTCCCCCTGCCAGCAGTGACGTAACACCATCAGAGCGCTGTTGTTACTAGGGGAATAGGCGAGTCAACACTCCCTCCCCTTCCCCTCCAGCGGTGACATGGCCAAGGGATGGCGCGGTTGCTATGCAGCAGTAAACAACTCCTGACAGCGTTGCTAGCAACACGGCGCCAGATAACAGTGGCGCCTATTACGTGGCTGTTTTCTGTGTTGTCCGGAACGAGACTAAATAAGGAGCAGCGAAGAATATTCACAGCAGTTCTCGCATTACGAGTGCACGAGTTAGTTCTCAAGTTACGAGTCAGCCAGGCAGTCAACCAGCATTTGCAGTGCAGTATTTGTGATACTGCCGATGGCAGTAAATGTCAGATTGTAATTTGTGTGATTGTAAGAGCGAATTTGAAATAAAATTCGCTATATCAAATAAGGCGTGAAGTTATTTGTCGCGTTATATACCCAACACGTGACAATATATTATTTAGCCATTTAAAAATCATGTGTTAAGGAGCAATAGAAAGGATCGCAGGCAATTAATTCATCCACTGATACAAGAGAAGGATTTTGGGACTTGGGAAAGTAAGATCAGTTAATATTCATTTATATTAAACTCTCACATCTGATGCATTACACTTCTCTCTAAGCAGACAGATGTGTTCTATTTAACCATAAAAATGAAAGAGGTCTGTTCAGTAATAAATGTTTACATTCAAAAAAAAAAGTTTATACATTTATTACTGGACTCATATTTCTATAGACTCAGCTTGAGATACACTTTTAGACTATGTAATATCAAACTAGCCCTTATCTCATTACAAAACACTCTCCATTTCTAAACCCCATCATAAAAATCTCAAGTCTTAAATATTCTAAATCTTCATGATGCCAGTCTCATTCATTCTTTTACACAGCATGTCCCAGGAGGAAAGGTCAATATTCTGGGAGGTCACAGGACATTCTAAGCAAACAAGTGTATATGTATGTATCGTATTCTGAATGGTTTCCGAGATCGAGCTATTTCACTGTACATTTCCAAAATTGTTGATAAGATAGAGATATTATGTAATGCTGGTATTTATTGTTCAAGTGAAAAAGTTGGTACAGTTTATCTAGCATAATAAATTTTCGAAAATTCCATCAACATCAATGCACTTTGCAACCCCTGTGAGGACATGGTGTGTTGCTCGTCTGTGCAGTGAAATAGCTCTATCTCGGAAACTGTTCGGAATAGGACATGCGTACATATACATTTTTTTGCTTAGAATGGCTGATACTATGACTTCCCAGAATATTGAGCTTTCCTCCTGGGACACCCTGTATATGAAGTTTCACTAAATTCTTTATCACTTCTGGGAACAACTAAACATTTCTGTTATTTCACATTCTCTTAACATGTTACCTTATGTTACACTGATTTATTATTATTTTCCTCTGTCTCTTTTTTTGACACGTAATTGCGTCATCCACTCAATAGCCATTCCGAATGGCAAGAGATGTGGGCCTGTTATAAATCTGCTTTTGCCCAATAATACAGACCAGAAGTTCATTATTTCTTTTCCATATTTTCTAATTATATGCTTATCTTTATCTTTACACTTCTACAAAATTTCTTACATAATTAGCTCATCTGTTCATAACAGATATGTAAGCAAATTCAATCAATACTGCTTCTGCAGGACAAATAAGGCATAAGATGGTTCAGTTATAGACAGATATTGCCGTCTCCTGAAATGATTTATTGGGTGACTTCCCACAGTCAACTTCCATGCTTCCTGAGATCTGATTATCCACTTCCTTCAGTGGGGATCTTGACATGGCAGGTTTAAGATGGCACTTTCGACAGACAGCCATGTATTTATCTGTACCACCAATCACCTCCAACTAGTAAGAGAGAATACAAAAAATGTTTGCACCATGTTATTTCACATTCTACAAAAGTATTACTCTAACAATTACTGCACATTTTCTAAGATCTATTATCATACATCATTTCAGGGCCATAAAGAAAGGGGTACTGGTGTCACTGCCACCTCACAAGTTTGTGTGTCTGCCATGTATTGATTAAAAATTAAAAAGCATGGTGTTGGGATGACCTCTAATGACACCATATTCATACCAAATTTTGTAAAATTAAGTCAAGTGGTTCAAAGGTGAATTTTAGGTGCACACAAATATGGCGTGATATTCTCATGAGCCCATTTTTCTTTTTATTTTAAGGAAGGAGAGTAAGCTATGACACACAGATCTGATAACCTGTAACAGCCATCATAGCACTGAATTCTAAATAGCTCTACTTACCTTCAATTAGTGGGCATGCAACAGCATAGTTGGTTCAGGCACTATGCTACAAGCTGAAGGTTGCGGGATCGAATCCCAATGAGGTGGATTTTTTTCAATTGACCTAAACCTTCCAGCCGCACTATTGCCCTGGGGCGAACTCAGTCTCTAACAGAAATGAATACCAGGAATCTTCCTGGGGATAAAGGGTGGACAGCGTGTAATGCTGACAACCTTACCGCCAACTGTGGGCCAATTGTCTAGAGAAAATGTGGGAGCCTCAACATCTCATGACCCTATGGGCTTCCAAGGCCTGTTAAGGGGATACCTTTACTTTTAGTTACCTTCATTTCATTGCCAATCCTCTTTGTAAAAGCAGCGTTCCCAAAGCATAGCATGCAGACAGCACTAAGTTTCACCACATTTTCGGCCAAAGGTATAAGATTCAGAATATCCCCAAATCCAGCTCGTTGAAATGTGCCATCAAGTGCTGCCACAATCATAACCTTCCCAAGGTTTGCCAGACTTTCACAGCACTCCACTATATCAGGGAACTGAAATGGAAAAAAGAAAACGAGTTACTTAAATGGTCAGAAAGAATAATACTTACTTTTAACATTCAGCAAATCAAAATTACAATATGCAACTTAAATGAAGACATATTACTCAGGTTATCTGAAGACAATGAATCAACTGCTGAAGTTATATGGTACAAAATGAGATGGGGGATATGATAATACCTGAGCATCCGACAATACAAAAGGAGGGCTCTCTCTTTTTTTTTTATTATTTTTACATTATTCACCTGAAGAGAATGAGGAAAACAACGCAGTTCTTGGCCAATATAATGGGTAACTTCAATTAAATTTCAATTAAGTGAAGAGCTGGGACATCTGACTCAGTGTATAGCAATAGGCTATGCAACAAACAAATAAACTGACTGATTGATAGGCTACAGGCTGGGTGACCACCATTTGATTCCTGGCAGGGGCAAGGGATTATTCTCTACTCCACAGAATTCAGATTGCTCCTGGGGTCCACCTGACGTAACTAACGGATACTAAGGAATCTTTCATAGGGGTAAAGTAGCCAGGATGTGAAGCTGACTACTCACCTACATTTAGTGACAAGGTTAAAAACGATGGAGCTACACCTCCCCTCTCTCTCACATCTTCATGGTGTGTCACTTAATTAATTATGCACAGGGAAAACTTTACCTTACATTTTACCTTCTTTCCTGAATCAAATACAGAGCATAATTGTCACACAAACATGCTCAGTTTAAACATGGAAACATCACGGCATGATAGAATAAATAAACCTTTGGTTCTTTTACTTTTTAACTGTCTATGAATTATATTTTGGTTGCAAAACTAAAAAATCTCAGATTCAATTTTATTCTTCTGTATCCCAAAGAAACCACCTCCATAAATAAAATCGTACTAAAAACTGCATCCTACAGAAACAGAATCATGAAACTTCATTATACTGAAAAATAACAGTACAGTTCTCATGCCTACATATAAGATTTGTTGGATTTTTCAAGATTAAGTTCCATGATTCAATGCTGCTTGTTTCGGAATAAAAGTGTCACATAGAAAACAGTCGTCATTAGCAGGAAATTGCTTTGGCTGTTTGCTGAAGTATGCAAATTATTCTTCAGCATAAAATCAATGTGCACCAACGAAATACACAGAATGAAACTTTAAATTTCTAGTCAAAATATGCTCTGCATGCGAAAGGAACAGTATGCTACTTACAAACTGGCCTTCATCAATACCAATAACATCATACTCTAGAGCCTTGAATTTGATATCTCTGATCTGTCTTGCAGAAACAGCTGCCAATGACTGCTGATCGTGACTAACAATGTCACTCTCACTGTAACGATCATCATTTGCATATCTCACAACAAGACACTTGCACTTTGCTATCTGGTAACGTCTCAATCTCCGTATCAATTCTGTAGTCTTTCCAGAAAACATTGGACCCAAAATTATCTGAAATCAAATTTCTTAAAGGTAAATATTATTACCGGAAGGAAATAGAAGAGTGGGAAGACCAAGGTTAAGATGGGAAGAATGTGTGTGGCAGGACATAAAGAATTTTGGGTGTAAAGAACTGGAGGAATGTAGCATCGAATAGAGAAGAATTGCGAGCAATCCTGAGGAAGGCCAGGGCTCACAAAGGGCTGTCATGCCAGTGATGATGATGATATATTATTACTGCGCCCATTAGCATTTTATCTATTATCACCAGTTACTTTTGGGATTTAGACCAATTGACAGTGGCTGGTTCAGCCACAAGCTTAGTGAAATAGAATACAAATAATTCCATGTACAAACTTGTAAAGTTGGTAATTATTTAGCCTGGCAAAAAATGTCTTGTATTTATAGAATGTGTGTGTTCATCAACTTATTCACAGTTTAATTTAATCTACAATTTTCACCAAAATCTATTTCAGTATCACCCCTCTATCTTCCAGCAGCTCTTGTTCTATGATTTTCTCAAACTGAAAGTTTATACATATTTCTGATGTCCCCTATGCATGTTACAGGGCATCCTATCTCATACTTCTTGACTTTATCACCCTCAAAATACTAACCCTTTCCCATAATTTTCATTATCAACTTATCAACTACAAAATTAGCTTATGAAAATCAAAAACAGGCATTTTGATTTTGGATAACATAAAACTCCTACCATATGTTGTTCCTGTACAAGAACTACTGGAAGATATGTCAAACAATGTAAGATATAACTCTCAGCACTGAATCTTAATGTGGCAGTAATTCTTGGGTTGTGACAGAGGTGTCCAACAGTTGACCTGTATAAGAAAATTATGATATTGGAAGCCTTCCAACAGAGGACAAAAATGGTTATGTTAAGTGAAGAGAATATGGATCTCCTTGTTATATATAAATTTCTGTACTTCTTTACGTCCTCTTTCCTATGTCCAGATATCTTCCTCAGCAATGGAACAGTGATAAAGAACTACACTTCAACAATAAACCTAAAATGTGTGAAATTAAACAATGCAAAAATATCATAAGAGGTTAAATAGTTTAAACTTTTATGATACTGTTAGTGTGAAAGACCAGAATGAAACAAATTAAATTTAATGCACAAATATTTCACTTTTAACATAAAAATATTCTTAGCTCTCTTCTTATTCACTTAGGATATCTGCAGCCATTCATGGTGGTATATAAAATAGGTACATAAATGTATGGGGGGGGGAAGATTTTCCCATTATTGCATTCTAATTTTAAAAGAAGAAATGAGGGATGGGACAAATAACTCCACAGAAAATAATGCTTCTTTAATTATTCTCTATAGAATTTTTCATTTTCACAAATTATATTTATTTTAAACATATAAAACATAACATTGCCAAGTAATGAAAATTATTCATATTTAATATCAGTAATTCTAAATAGAAATACAGACCATAATGGATTTACCATTTTGAATATTTTATACAAAACGTCCTTCCATACTTCAATGATTCTATATTATCGCTGCACCTATTACATATTCTTAAGCAAATAAAGCTGGAGAAAAATACATTCTCAAAATTTGATTTATCTAATCCTTCCAGCTGCACTATGGCCATGAGGTTGGCTCAGCCTCTAACATAAATGAGTCTCATCAACATCTCACAACACTACGAGCCTCCATGGCCTGTTACAGGGATAGCTTTTTTTTTTAATTAGCTACTATACTGCACTATAGCATACTGCACATCTTAAAGACAATCAATATGTCTTCCACATATTAACTGATTTTCCTGCAAGAATCCAAATTCAGTAAACACAATTCAGTTCTTCTGTTAAGATATGTCACAGTGAAAGTTGTTAATAATGTACGTAAGTCAATAAATAAGTTACAAATGGATATAGAACTTAAACAAATGAGAGTACTGATTTGAAAACTGCTTTTATTTCTCAACATAATCTCCCTGTACATTGAGGCATCTGTCCCATTGTTTCACAAGCCCCTGAAAACCAGCAGAATAAAATTATTTGGGCTGCTGTCGGAACCAGGCATGTTCACATGGCATGGCTAGACCCATTCTTTGCATTTTGTGTTGTGCGGTCAGCATGCACGGCACCCATCGTGCACAGACTTTGTGAAAACCTAACCTGTCTTGCATTATGAGGTAGGCCATGCCACATGAACATGCCTGGTTCTGACAGCAGCCCAAAGAAATTAATGCTGGTGGTTTTCAGGAGCTTGTGAAATGATGGGACAAGTGCCTCAATATACAGGGAGAAATTGTTGAGAAATAAAAGCATTTTTCAAATCAGTACTCTTATTTAAGTTCTATATCCATTTGTGACTTACTTATTGACTTAGCCTTGTAGATTTCTTTTTCTTGATGTGCACAGAACCAACAATGAAAATCACCTATTCAGTCTTCTTAGTCTTCAGGTTCATATACAGAAGAAGCTAAAAGTTGAGGAATTACAATTTTGTTCACAGAGCTATACCTCCATTTCCCTCTACTTCTAAAATGGTAAGTCACTTCAGTACAAGGAAGAACAACTTTACACTTTTAGTGAAAGTATCCAACATCAAATTTTAAAGAAATCTAATGGTTTAGGCCCTGATTAGTAGGTCTCAGAACAAATGCCTCAAATTCTAATGCTGAGTATAGTATGCAATAAAACACACTACTGAAAAGAGAACGGCTGTGCAAGGTAGGAAGGATTCCATGCTTAGCATGTTACAATATGCTTTTGCTTAAGTTTATTACACACACTGGAAAGGTTATTAATCGTTCCTGTGTTTAACATGAAAATCCGTGAATTGTATGTCCACAAAATGAAGATTTATATTCCACAGCCTGAAAAACTTAAGCTCCTTTATATTTTGAAGCACATGTAAATAAGAAACAAAGTGAAGAAAGCAGTCTTAAGAAACAAAGTGTTATTACTGACTAGAATAATATACATAACAAGTATTTTTTTCTTCAGACTACTGCATTCTTAATTGAGGGCCAACACATGAAAGAAACAGCAAATATTAAAACCAGAGACCCCTTTTTATGTATGCTCATAATCTTATCAGTTAATAATGCAGTCACAGAAGATTCTTTAGTATGGATAAGTGTCACAGAAAGACAAGAAACATGAGAAAATTGTCCCAATGCAGTGCTGTTTACCAAAAACCAAATAACAACCATGAAGGTGTCTCAATGTGGGAGGCAGTAACTGTACAATTTGGTTTGTGATTTGGGGCTGAAAATCTCTTCCCTGGTCAAAGAAGTCTGTCATTAAACAATCTTCAATTTCTCACTTGTCTTCTGCTAGGCAATTAAAAATTCACTCATTCATGAAATGTGAATTTTCACATCCCTGACAGTACTAGAGCAGCCATTACAATAAACACACAAAATATGGAATGTAAGAATCAAAACTGTAAATAAACCAGCACAATTAAATGAAAGTCATCAGGTACTATTAACATATCAGTTTGAAAAATGTTCTGAAAACATTATTTTTTAAAAATTAATTTCTATAGTTCAGATGCCCTTCTATTATGATTATTTAATTACAGTATGCCCATAACTCAACTGAAAACTGCTCCCCCAGGCTAGGAATCAAACCTACAACATACTTCTTATCAGTAGGTAAGGTGCATAAAGATATTACTTGCCTGTTTCCATTTATATGAAATAATGAATGTGTATAAAAAATTTGGTCAGAAAATTTTAAGGACCCCACTTAGGAGGCTTGGGAATCAGCAGTAGCATCATATTAAAATGTATCTTAAAGAAACAGGGTTGGGCAATGTGGGCTAGACCTATCTGGCTTAGGATAGGTTCCAGTGGCAAGCTCTTCAAGCACAATAATGAACCTAAAAAACTTGTGCTCCATGGAGATCCTCAGTTTTGTTTCACATCTGCTTGGAAGAGGAAATGGACAAGAAAGCAGAAAGCTACAGGTTCAACTCCACACTTTGGCAACATTCCTCAATCAGAAAGAAACACACATTTCTCGGAACTTTCAAATTATTTTGTGGTTTTGTTTTCATTGTCAATATCTAGATGATATAGGATTGAATGACAGGGTGATTGATAAACTGGCATCTATATGGAAGGGAACAGTCATGGTGTAGTTGAGGTACTATCCTAACAATTATCTGGAGGGCCTGAGGAAAACCATGAACAAGCACAGTCAGGATAGTCAGTGTTTCAGACAAGATTTGAACAAGGCACATTACAAATACAGACCTACAGCATTATGGCTACACTAACTTCTATATCAAATCACAATTCATTTATCTGATTATTACACAAATGCCACCAAGCGAAACCATCTCCACTTTCTGGAATTCAAGAGATGACAGTGTAAGTTTGGATTGTATACCGCTGTATGGAGAATTAAGCTGGGTCAGCTGTGTTGTAGCACTCGTGTTCTTCTGAAGGCGGTTGGCAGTGCCAATAATCATTACAGCTGTTTCCGAGGAACATACTGCCACCATCTTCAGTGCTGGCCTTGGCATCCCACTAGTTATTAATGTTTATAGTCACAGCCACAAAACTTCAAATAATGCGACAACTACTTCACCATTAATGGGCATTATTAAGAAGCTTGATTTCTGTCCAGATTTATCATGTACCACTGAATAATAACTGCAGGTAAATTCAAGTCTTGAAAATGTTAGTTATGGGCTTCTTAGAGCTGAACCCTACAGTGGGCTTCTATAGTAATGAACATGGGCTCCATAAAACAGGTAATTACTAGAAAAAACAACATTTTTTTTGAGTATGGGGGGAGGAAACAACACTGCATGCAAGGAATATTTTTAACAATATTATATATGTCTGTTAGCTCTTGAGGAACAAGTTCAGTGAAGATAGTTATGTTGTTTAACTTAATAAGAGGGCATAAATTATATTTCTCATAGAAAACAATCTCAGTATTATTATTATGGAAATATGCATATAATGGTATAAACCACCTGGAATGAGTTATTACATTTTTGCTTTTTTAGAAAAAACACATTCAGTATTGCTGTATTAACACTTTACCATATAACCTGATTCTGTCCATACAAAATTCAAAGACGTAAAAGTAAATACATCAAAATCAGAATTATCTAAAATGTTTTGTCTAGGTACATACACAGCCCAATAATTGTATTATTTCAACTTTCATCCAATTACCATTTTACAGGTGTCAAAGTAGCTAATGACACTTGAATCGGCGCATTTCAAAATATCTTAAATATGGTAATCAGTTTTTATTTTAGTTTCCTACTCTGATACTTTCACATTGTACAATATAACAGTAGTGATGTTAAACTCAAATAATTATACTGTTTTCTTACATTTCACCATCCAGCAAGAGCAGCAAAACTATGCATCAAAGAACATTATTTTAATTAAAGTGCTACCCTTTTCTGTAAGTTTATCTTATGGAAGTTACCAGTGTTTAAAGACAAGGCTAGAGTAAGTAGCTGTCAAACTTATGCTTCTTCCTTTTCTTCCCAAGGAAGGGAAATGCTGGGTTTTTCATCCCTGAGTAGGTGTACAACTGCCAGTGACTTCTTTTCCTCCGCTTCATCCAGTGGTGTTTTACCATTGGAATTTCTGATATCCAGAATAGGACTATGTTTCAGAATCAGTTCTACTAATCTCGAGTTTCCTGTGAAACTCGCACAATGCAACGCTGTATTCCCTCCAGAATCTTGAATATCAGGATCGCAGTCCCCAGACTCAAGCAGAAGTTTTGCAGCTTGGATACACTGATTTTGACAGGCAAGATGCAGTGGGGTCGCACCTTTCGTTCCAGTCACAACATTGATCCCAGCACCGGCATCAAGCAGAAGCCTCATCATATCAACATGTCCCTGCATTGATGCTATGTGCAAAGGAGTAAAACCATCAGAATTACAAATGTTGATATTTAAAATGTCTTTATCTAGCTTTATGTCATCCTCAAAAAGATCACTGTCATCCGGCTTGCATTTCTCACAAGTGCACAATGGATGGCAAAGAGATTTGACATTTGATGGCAGATGCACTTCACAACTGTTTGAAGCTGAAACAGGACCATCCAAACCCAAATAAAAACACGCTAATCTTATGTCACCATATGCAATTGCCTGCAACAGTCTCTCCACTTTCTTCATTTGTTCTGTTGACTGAGGGTGAATACCATGTTGTTTCTTCCTTGGTTTATTCCCAAGCCCATTTGATGACTTTATGCTATCATCCATGAAATCTAATGTTGGTTTAGTACCAGCTACAATATCAACGTACACTTCATCTGAACAATTTTTTAATTCCTTGTGACATGTCTCAGACTTTACATTACAGAGAGTTTTATTCATATTAATGAGCAATTTTGAAACGTGAAGGTTGTGAGCAATGTCCATCGGTGTTAGATGACGTTTATTTTTCACATCTGGACGTCCTCCATACTCCAATAATATCTGCACTATACTCTCATATCCCCATCGTGCTGCACGATGAAGAGGCGTATCACCATTGGTATTTTGAGAGTTCACGTCCAATTTTGAGCCTGTATGTTCTGCAAAGTATAACAACGCTTTGACACACACTTCATGGCCATTGTTGGAGGCTAGATGAAGGGGAGTATTGCCATCATTGTCACAAATACTAATTACAGCTCCTGAATGAAGTAGCAGAAGTAATGCATTCTGATGACCTTTTGCTGCTGTGTAGTGAAGGGGAGTTGAGCCACTGTAGTCTAAAGCATTTATATTTGATCCAGAGCAAAGCAGCTCGTCCACAATAAGGGGACGACCAAAGAGACAGGCAACATGAAGAGCAGTAAAGCCTTTATCATCACATGAATTAATTGTGGGAGTTGTATCACAAAGACGTTTATTAAGTAGACTTTCACATTTGTCGCAGGAACACAGAGGATGACAAAGATGAGGAAGCAAGTCCTCGTTACTGCTTACTGATCTGTTGCCAGGACATTTCTGATTTTTTGACAGTATTTCCTTAACTTTTTCAATATTGCCCAACCTAATTTGATCAAAGAAGTGTGTTACACAAGATGTTTCAACTGTCGCTAACCTTCCATTTTTATTCATTTTTGTATTTTTCATACCCAATGTATTACAGCCATCTTCGTTACTTTGACTTTCATAAACGTACTGTGCTTCAGGAACTGAAGAGCCAAGAAGAATGCCAGACTTTATGTGCTCAATTGCAGCTTCGAGCGTGGTAATAAGGAAACTGTATTCATCGACATGACAAGCATAACAGGAAGAAAACCGGAACTGCTTCATATATGTCAGATGAGCAACCCAGTTGGGAAGATTTGTTTTAATTATAAGAAACACAATCAATGGCAATAAATCATCTGCAGTAATAAGATTTCCACTCATCCTCTCTCTACCACTGACATCAGGATTTGACTTTGAAATGGATGCTATCACTCGTCTCAAGCAACCGATCTTCCCAAGAACAGTACTATAGCCTTCTATTCTTGCTAATTCTTGCTTAGCTCTTGGAACTGTCTCGTACAAATCAGATCTCACTTCAAGATCTCGTAACTGAATATCAGAGAGGTTACGCACAACTTTATTTAGAGATGCGTCATCATAAGCAGTGCAGGCTGTTATACCTTTTATGAGCTTCTTATAAATTGTATGGTGAACATATGTTTCAACTGAAAGTTTAATATTTTCTAACAGATGTTTATCTTCACCAGTTTTTTCTCGAAGACGAGCATCTTTTAATGCTATCTGCAAGCATGACACATATAACGCTCCAACAAGATCCTTCTGAACTTGAAGAGGTTCTAGTTCAAGACTGCTGTTAAGAGAAAGAAAATTTAGAATTACTTCATCCATCTTTTCCAATACTTCTCTTCCAGCACTCTGTGTCCACAGAAGGTCTATACAGTCTCGCAAAGTACGGACAGTTACAATTCTTGTTTCATCATTCTGTGCACAACTGAAGTCTGTGTGTCTTTCCAGAGGGCTTTCTACACACAAAACTTTGTACTTCAAAAGGTCATTTGTATAAAATGTTTCTTCAAACAGAATGTGTGTACTATATGGTCGGGAAATATCGGTCTGTTCCACAATTATTAACTTGTTTGACATCTTCACATCCTTACCGTTTAGCGTCCTAAAATGACTTTCTGGCAGTTCATCACTTGGAATAAGAATGTGGCTGAAGAAGTCCTCATCAGTAAGCGTATATTTCGGCAACGACCCTGACCGAGGGACGCATATAACCCAACCTTCCAGTGTAGCTTTCAGAAACAGATCATTATGATCAGCTTTCAGAATTTGAAAAAACGAATTTTCATCCAAATTCTCGTCGTAACTGAACTCCATAATAGGCAAGAAGAAATAATAGTTCAAAATCTTAAAGTAGTAAATGCTGGCACGCACACAACTTTTACAATATAACTTCCGTTGCTTAGAAACCGGTCCAACACTAACCTACAGTGCCATACGAACCATTCTGTCTACTGCAAACATGGAGATTACCAAAATGGAACATTATTATAATTCATGAAATATCGCTAATTTCAACCGTACCTGAATCTGACCTTTCCTAGGATCAACAAGTTCAATAACACTGCAACTCACATCTGACATTATTTACAATAAAACAACAAACCCTTATATATTTAAGAAATAGAAGAACAATCACAGTCCGGTTCAATATTATTTCCCGCCTTTCTACGAAACTCGATTCTTAGTTCGATTAGAATGCGTGTGACTAATCCATCATGTTGGTAAACATCGAAAACAAAAAATGTGTTTCTGCTTGTTTCCAATCTTCACCCGTTATAAAGTGAATTAAAAAGGGGTAGGCTAGCAAACTCACACCTTGACACAAGGTTATATTAATAAATTTCACGAAGTCGGCAGGAAATGTTTGTAACAGACACATACCGAAAAGAGATAAATGTTTTGGTGTAAGAGCAAAGATACGAGAAAATTACATCAGAAAAGAACCAAATAAAATTATTCGCATATTCTGGAAGGCACGAACCCAAGGGACGCTATTTACGATGGGTCCAGTATTGATGCCTCATGACAGTTATACTGACAATTTCAGCTATACTGCAGACGGTTCCTGCTGTCGGTATATTAGAATCATAGGGATTCACTGACCCTATAGCCGCAGTAGGGAAAGTAAAAACGTAAAAACGCTGAGCTTGCAACGCAGTTGGCCGTCGATGATGAAGTCATTTGTATTTACCTGCTACGTAATCTACATCTTGTACATATGGTGAAAGTTTCTATTTAAGGTCAATTGGATTCTAAGCAAAGGAAACCAGTCCTCATTTTGACTTTCAGTGTGGGTATCACGACGCCGTTCACTGGCTCATGGGCGCCAAGGCCAGGCCAGAAGATTCCGACTATTCGTGGAAGCGATACAAGGGACAAGAAGAGTCCTTCACAGGCTCACCGACGTTTTCATAATAACAATTTGCTGAACAATCAGCATTAAATAAGTGGCTAACTAATCTGACCGAGTCCATCTCCCAAACTGACAAGACCTCTTCCCCTTGGGCTCCATCATAAGACAGGACTCCGAAATCAACTTCTGTAGTTAACTACCAAGTTGTACATTCCAATCCGTATGGACTTGCACCACAACAATGTAGTCTCACAGCAAGACCGGTTTAAGATCTATAAGACTAAAATTTTATTTACAAAATAAGGAAGCCAGAACAAAGCAAATTCAGAAGAGTACAATGGAACTCTAAAAGAACAGCAATTCCTGTTTTGAGTCCATGTTTTTCAGCGAGGCTATACTTCAATTCTAACAAATAAACCTCAAAATTTCGCCGAGCGAAATATGTCAACAGGTCAAGATCACATTATTTCAACGTTCACAAGTTTATTTTTTCTCAGACTCTGAACGCAATTGATAACCAATTTCAACCGCAACCGTTTTAATTCTCTTCAGGCTCAAATAAGGAATTCCTTGAGTGCTTATCGCTGTGTTCAAGATTCTGTTCTACTTCAGCTTTGCACTCCCAGGCTTATTAAGAAACACAAACTGTGCAGTNATATTCAATTGCCTTCTGTTCGTACGTACACTGCTCTGTTCCCAGCCATACATAATGATTAAATACTATTACTGCAATATTTTAACTATTACAGCAGTGCTATCCGAAGAAGACATTATGAAACAGAAAAAGATACGAGTCATGTAGATGCACTGAAATTAATAATTTCTTTGCTTGAAATTCAAATTGAAGGGGAATATTTTACTTTGTGCAAAGAATCAATGGATAACGAGACTCGCTTCATCGCTGCTTCTAAATAACAAAACATCAATTTAGTTTATTTTTGTTAATGAAAATTCAGTATGTTCTGACGACACAGAATATTTCACTTATGGAAATAATAATACCAGCATGAAAAGTAACAATTGACTTATGGAGAGATTATTAAATAAAGCCTATATTTTGTTTCAGATTTCAGTTTTATAATGCTGTACTCGTATGATAGGATCCAGTTGAAAATGTTTGAAAATAACTAAAATCTGTATTCGTCATATATGTCGATGAATTCTAAATAATAAAACTTTTCAGGATTCTTCCTACGTCGCACTCAAACACGCGAATTACGCCAATCCTCTTTTATGTGAGCATTCTTTCTACATACATTTGTGTATCGTGTTCTGTGTTGTNTACAGCGAAGTGGTGCCCCTCGCGTTTCGTGAAAGTGGGGATGTTCTGATGGACAGGATAATTACCATTTCACTAGATGGCCCTGCATGTTACATCTACGTTGGTGTTCACCTGACATGAACTATGTAACGCTACGCGTATTTACTTAAACCTGGTTCTGAAGTCCCGCCTCCCTGGCACAATTCTAATCCCATTACGAGATTTTTCAACTGAGTTTCATTTCATTTCCAGAACCTCTGGAGTCGAACCTAGGTCTGTATCGTGCTGTTCCAAGACGTTTGCACAAAGCGTTATGCAGCAGAATAAATGGAGTAGAATGTTATGAAGAGATAATGTATTTAGATGTGGTAGTCCTCAGATTCGAACTCAGGCCATTTGAATGGTTTCCAGTGCATCTACAATTTTTGCCCGTGTATGTTTGGAATTTTGTAGCTAACAACCATACATTCATATAAAAAACTCCATTTTAGGTGTGGAATTTCTGTTTACTCATCCGAGGTAAAGAATCCGCCATATTGTCTATTTATAACCTCATAGTAACCTTGAAGTATTTAGGCGGGGAGGAGGCGGTGAGATGCAGGCGCGTGGCTGAATCGTCATTCCCTTGTTTATGTCCAGCAGATTTGTTACGTCATTATTTCCGTTGGATTTATTACGTCACGACTTCCAGTGTCGGACTGTACACATCAACACAGCGACAGTTTCAC